GTTTTAATGCTCTTGTCAGTAAAGTTATCACAGGTGACCTGGCTTGCTTTGCCGTGAAGGTATATTGACAAACTCAAAGTAGACCAGCAATAGGATGCCCGTTATTGGAGATAGGCACGGATTTCCATCCACTTCTTAGCCATTTTATTATGTCGCTCTTGACCTCCTCGATATTAAATCACTATTTGCAGACATCTAAGCACACTCATTCTCGTTTTCATGAATAGCGCTGCAGGGATAGTTGGCTCTCCACTCTTATCCATATGTACCCCAGGGAAAGTGCGTGGTCCCTTTATGTTAGTGTTTAGCGTTCAACTAGCAAGCGTGAACTAAAGAGGTGCCAGGTAGCGTGGCGTCTAAGAGGTTTCATATTTCACATTGACACCAGTCATAGACCGGTGATTGAATGGCTCTGAAGCAAATGGGAAGCGTTCCAAGGGTCATTCGAACAATTAGAATTCATTGTATTTTAACAGATGAGCTATCCATTAACACATCTACCCTCCAGAGGTATAAAGAGAACTCTTTTTGATAAAAGTCAATTAGCCATCTGTAGCTACCTTCTCGTCAGAATCACTGAAATTGAAAATTACCTATTTCGAAAGAGTAATCCTTTTCTTCCTAATCAATCGAATCAATCGAATGGGTCGAGTTAGATAGCTGTAACGCGTGGCGTGGGCGAATGGAGAGTTTGTTGGTGCCTACTCCATTGCTCCATATGTGGCTGTTGTTCTGAATGTCAATTAGCTCTACAGCAGTACCAATTTGGAAATTTCCCGTGGATTTTCGTCTTACTGTTGACTATCATCATGTGCTGCTAGCGAAAAGATTATGGAAAGTGTGATTTTGTGATTTTAACTCCATTCAGTATACTCTCGTTCTGAAATCCGTAAAATTGTTTAATGTCGTCGATTTTCTGACCGTCAGCTGTCGTAGTTCTGTTTTTTCTTCAGCAAACTAGCGCCGATATGTTTGCAATTCTGTGATGTTTCGTTTTGTTCGTGAAGAAATGAGTCAACATTTGGTAACACCCGAAAGCGACAGGGTCAACATTACAATCCATTCACCACGTTCTGAACGGGAGCCTTTTTTGGCACAGACGTTTTTAATAGCTTGTCCTTGTCACATCCGTTACAATACATGCAGCTTTGGTGATACGACTAGAAAACGTGATGAGGCGTTCCAGCCAATCGGACCGAAATCTTCTTTGGCCTGAGTATTACTCATCGTAGAAAATACTGTCAAGAGTTAAGTTGAAATGTAGATACAATAGTCTGTCCTGAAATACACACATGGTCGTTGGTTCGATCCCGTGCTTCGGGCTCACCAAGCATTCCATTGTTTCGGGAGCAGAAAATTTACACCAGATTTGTCTGGAGGGTAGAAGCACCGGCACGATAGATCGCTAGGCTGTCACAAGTCATTGTGTGGTCCAGATATTCATTCAATCACCTGTGCGATGGTTGGTGAAGTCGAGTGCATGGCACATTCCTCAACGATTAATCAACGCCGAACGTTCAATTTTTTCCTTTTGCAGTAGTTCGTGCTAAAGAATATCATGGTTAATAAGATGGGCCCATACAGCTCTTCTCAGTAAAAATTTATAAAAAGCACTTTTAAAAGAAGTGCTCTGCCAGTGGATGCAAACTGAAAGTGGACCAGTGGGCTACGAGTAGTTTTTTTTTGTTTTCTCCCTCACTGTATTAATTTTGTAATGCCAGGTGTTGTTGAAGACAACTTGCCAGTGGATATTTGGAGAATTTTCGGCTCATTTTTCATTTTAAATCTGACTCCTGACTAATATAAGATCGAAGTGATCCATCACGTTGTAAATTAATTAACCAGAAGAGTAGAACTGCGTCTAACAGAAAAGAACGAAAAAATCTGTCAATTTGCCACAATGTTGAGTGGCTGCTGATATTTATTGGCTTTAGAGCTCTAATGAGTCCGGTTTTTCTTCCAGTTACCGTCCTGTACCCGGTGTGAGAATGCTGATCATCGTCTGTTCGTCACGAACAGCTGCTGCGTTGCGATATGTGAACGATTGATACTCGTACAGAGCTCTACACTTGCCGATGATCTTCAACTCGCATCGTTTTATGTTCCTTCCTTGATATGTACTTCTTCACCACCTACACATTACGCTTGATTTCTCCTGCACAAGTTCTCTTCATATTTACGGTGTGGATCCCAGCAATTCTTGCATTCCTTTCGTTTTTCGCATTCATCACTAACGAATGTTTCTTTTTTTGAACTTTTTTTTTGGACTTTCTTTTGGAAAAAAGGACTTTTCGAGTGTGGGTTCGGCGGCTACTTGAGGATTGTTGCTTTCCTCATAAATGTCGTTCAATACTGCTAAAATCGATTTTTCAGCGACTTTGTACCTGAATAGTAGGACATATTATGATGTGTAGTTTCCATAACCCTGTGGCAAGTTATGTTTCAATGCTTTTTGAGCGGAAATCACCATAAGAATGTGGACCGTGAGGACTGATGCACCCGCCGCTTCCCATTCATCTAGCAGCCATGTTTTCACACTGCTCAATACGTATTTAAATCACTCGAGGAAAAAACACTGATTTATGCTTCAATGATTCTGAGATATTTGCAAAACTCCGGACCGCAGGTGCCTGCGGTGGGGAACGAACCCGCTATTATCCTTTCAGGGCAGTGACGCGTTCTCCACCACACCATGTCGGTCTTTCGTTTCGCCTGTCTCTCAGCTAGTTCTATCGATTTTTACCATCAGCATTTTACCATAATGATTATAACTACAGCTTCAGCTTAACTGGGTTCTGGACCGCAGGTGTCTATGGTGGGGAACGAACGCGCTATTATCCTTTCCGGGGAGTAACGCGTTCACCACCACACCATGCGGGTCCTTTGTTTCGCACGTCTCTCAGCTATTTCTATCGATCTTTTTGCCACAGCAATCACCCGTTAGCGGGGTTGATCTGGGGAGCGCAAATCGGCATAGAACCCAGTTAAGCTATGGCTGTAGTTGAAATCACAATGTTTAACGTTTTGTTTTCTGCCTTCTATAATTTTCATGGCAGGTTACTAAGCGAAATACAACCACAACGTTGCTGAGATATCAACTACAGCCATAGCTTAACTGGGTTCGTTGACGATTTGAGCTCCCCAGATCAATCCCGCTAACGTGTGATTGCTGATGGCAAAAGATCGATAGAACTAGGTGAGAGACAGGCGAAACGGAGGACGCGCATGGTGTGGTCGTGAACGCGTTACTCGCCGAAAAGGACAATAGCGCGTTCGTTCCCCACCGCAGACACCTGCGGTCCGGAGTTTTAAAAATATCTCAGCATCATTGAAGTTATACTTCGCCATATATATCCTGCCATTAAAGAGAGTAGGCATTAAATAATAAGTTAAAATACTGATTCATGGATTCTGAAAACTCCCAAACCATCTTTAATAATATTTCAATCCTCGTGTAAGCTTATCAAAGAAAAAACACGTATTGATTAGTCTTAGCGAAGTTAAAGGAAAGTCAGTTTTGAAATATTATCACGCTTTCTACTAGCTGATAATGATACCGGCTTCCACAAGATGGATTGTCCGGCAAAAACAAGTGGTTATCACCGGACGCTCACCGCTATCGATGAGAACCGTCCTGTATAAAAGGGCATCGGCGAGTGAGCATGGCTCATTCGAGAGAGATGCCACACTGAGGAAGATCCAGCTTGACGCTTTATGCGCGACGAAGACGCAACCTCGAGAACACGAACAACTGTGGGCCATCGTCTCGAATCATCGGCAGTGATGAAGAAAACCGTCGAAGCGTTAGCCGAAAATAAAAAATGTTTATCAACCTCGAGTAAGTTTATCAAAAAAGGAATACATCTTTAGCAAGTTGAATTTTTGCTATTGTTCACTTTAAAACTTGTTTGGCTCAATTATTCATCATCATCGTCGACGGTTGAAAACTTTTAGGAGACAGCACCTGTCCGCCTATACACATCACACGGCTCATTTACTGCTTATAAAATATAAGTGACGCCCAGTCACCCATTATTTTTTGCCGGGTTAACTTTATTTCGTGGAAAGAACATCATTCTTGTCATGCCTTTTCAAGCTGCGGCAGATGTTCAAAGAGTTTCACAGCGTTCTCTTTGTCTTTCCCTTTGGGCGATGCTTTAACTGCTTCACCGGTCGCTACGGTGGTAATCCGAAAATTTTTTTAATTTTCTGATTCCACCACGTGGAATATTCTCTGATTTCTGTAATCCCATTAATTATCGACTAACCCGAACGAGCGCCAATAAAAAAAATGATTCGTCGTTGTAGTGCAGCAAAGCTGCTTAATTGGCTGCACCCATTGCACAAGAGAAAAGAAGACTATTTCGGTTCAGATTTCTCAGCTTTTATACGCTTTTTAGTGATAACACAATCATCGCCAACTCTACGGGCTGTGGCATAGCTTCACTGATAGCTGATCCTCACCCTGATAGAAGTGCCGAACTCCTTGTCAGCCTAGATGACACTACTAGACATGAAATGGACTCCCGCTGTATATTACAGCCGCCGGTCAGGAATCACACCTCAGCCGCGCTGAAGCGAATGATCAGTGATGGATCGTCCAATACATAGAGTTTTTTATTTTTATTTCATTATTGCAGTTCTTTTTTTCATCTTAGACTTTCTTCTCTTTTTTCTTTTTTTGTTCATTTCCCAATCAAAAATCGATGATTCCCTATTAAAATTATTCTCGATTTTTTCGTTTTTATGAAGCGCTTTGTTTTCTACACGCTCTTAGTCGTGTTGTTAGAGTTTCTATCGAATGTGATTAATGGTCGTGAAGCTTTAATCCTTGACCGGTGTTCTTACGAGCGCCGATAAAAGCAGGATTGTTGCTTTTTTTCTCCTCAGAACTCCTTTCACTTATGAATCAGCCGTTTCTACTCTCATTTTCACCACTGACTCGAGTTTTTCTGCTATCTGTGCTGTATGTTAGAAAAATGCTCTGATTGCTTTGCAGAATGGCAGATCCTTTGAAAGATGTGCTCTACCAGCGAATGTTCAGCGTATTCTCATATTTCGCCGACGCTACTTCTTCTGATGGACTGCATCCGTCACAAGCGTCATTCATACTTGATGAAATGCTACGCGAATCAGGGCGACCGTCTACGTCCCAAGGGAGTACATTCGGTCACGATTCAGTCACATTTCGGTGAGCCTAATGTCTAGTTACCAGCAATTGATTAACTTCATCCACTTTATTTAACATTATTGATTTCACTCTTATTAAAAGTGCCATTTATTGCGTCGTAGGGCTCAAAACAACTCGAAATATCTCTACCTCAACGTTTCACTTACCCTGATTACGCAGGGAGTCTCGCCTATGTTTAACGCTCTTTTTTCCTTGAAAAACCCTTCCATTTTTTGCATGACAGTGAAATCTTTTATGACTTGAATGACGTTCAATGATTCAATGACAGAGCACCATCGTCGTGACGTCGTAGGCTTAACGTCTGTTCGAGTTTTCACTTTTCTCTGCAGAACTTTCCGGAAACTTCCGCATTCTCATCGTTTTTCGTCAGTCATCGGAGTGTTCTTCCTATCTTTTTTTGTATTTCAATGAGAGTATGTGGAATTTGTCTCTTATCTTGAAACCCTCCCATATGTCCTATTAATAGCTTTTCTGTCTTTTTCTATTCTTCATTCATGTTCATAACTAAACCCACCTATCGCTGAGCTGAATTTTAACACAGCAGAAGATCCTTTTAATAAAATCATCCAAGTAAATATGTGGAAGTAAACTACTAGAGAAAAAGTGGATATCAAAACAAACGATCTCGAGCGAATACCTCGCTGTTGTATTGCTGCTGATTTTCTCTTTCATACGTTTACTGTAGCTGGAAAACAATAATTTTCAAACCGACCGTCATTTAACCTCAGTAGTAAAATAATCAATAAAAGGGTAGAGGATAAAGCTTTCGGCGTTGATCAATCCCTAAAGGATGCGCCATGCATTCGACTTCATTGCACATCGTTTGGAGGGATTGGTTGCATATCTGACCTTTACAATGAATCGCGGTAGCCTACCAATGTATCGAGCCAGTGCTGCTAACCTCCCAGACAAGTCTGGTACCAATTTGCCGACTCCGGAGGGATGGAAGGCTTGGCGGGCCATGCACCCAGGGATCGCTTCCACTTGTGTGTCGCAGTGGCGTCTCCAACCATTGCGCCACAGGTAAATAATCAATGCCTGTTTAAACTGTTGAGCTTACACGAGGATGGTGAACAAGTTTATTCGGCTAACGTCTCGTCATCTTCGTCTTCATTAGAGCTGATGATCCGAGTCGATGGGCCACAGTTCTTCATCTTCTCGATATTTGCCTTATCCGAGCGATGTCCAGTGAAGAAGATCCGAAGACGATGACGTCACATCGAGAAGACGAACAACTGTGGACCATCGACTGATCATCGGCTCTGATGAAGAAGAAGACGTCGAGGCGATAGCCGAGTAAATCTATTTATCAACCTTGTGTAAGCTCAACAATTTAAAGAGATGTGGCTGGGAAGCTTTTCGCAGCGGTGCATAAAACAATGAAATATTTTTATTTTAATAACACTGAATCTTAATATCCTTATGACTGAGTTCAAAAATTTACGTGAAAAAATAATTTGTTGAGGTGTGATGACGGTTACTTTGTAAATAAAAATAGCCTTTTAGTGAACTTTTAAATTTGATCGAAGTACAATTTACGGATCGAAGTGAATTGGAGCCTGTTGTCGAGCGGATATTTGAGCGTATTATTGGACAAGTGATCAGAAAGGTCAGACAGCTTCAATCATTTTTTCCTTTCTGTCTTCTTTTCTCTTCCTTCTTCTTTCTTTTACCTCTCTGTATATCGTTCATTTCTTCCTCTCTCATTCCTCGTGTCCATTTTTCCTCCTAACAATATCGTTGCGAGTGAATATTTCATGTTGAACGGGTTATGTTCTTAGAAAGGAAGCAAACATAAGTCATATTGAAATCGCTGACTCAAAAATAATGCTTTTCTCATAGATAACGTCCTATCATCTTTTTCATCAGTTAGAAAGTTACAAGATGCTCGATATGAAAATGATGATGGTGCTACTGATAATGATGAATGTATAGAATCGCCAAGGTCTTTAAGAACGTCTAACAGTGAATAGTAGCAGACACGGTTACTAACCACTACACTACAAGGGAATATAGGGCGCGTGTGGCGCAGTCGTAGGAGGCGCTCTGCAACGCACACGTGTAATCGGTCCCTTCGCCCATTGCCCACCATGCCTTCCATCCCTCTGAGGTTGGCAAATTGGTGCCAGACTTGTCTGGAAGGATAGCGGCACTGGCTTGATACATCGATGGGTAGGCACCGGGAATCATTGTAAAGGCTAGATATGCATTCAATCACCTCCAAACTATGCTTAATGAAGTCGAATGCATGGCACATCCATCAGGGATTGGTCTTCGGTCGTTTAGGACTGTATGCACCCGATTCTCTATTATATTAGAAAAGAAGCTGCTCTTTCTGTTACTGCTGCGGCTGCTGCTGTTGTTTCTACTATTCCACAGAAGAGTCAGGCATCAGAACGGACAAGAATTGAGGCATATCCGTTGTTCCTCGTTCAGTGTCGGATATTGTCATAATTTTTGGTGTTTTTTTTGCAACATTTACTAGAAAGCATCGGTATACGAGCAATAGGACTGGTTTGTAGCTTCGTGTCTTAATGTGATCACAGTGACACAACGTTCGCAAGAACGTAAGTCGGCAAACATTCGTGAGTTCAGTAACTGCTAAGCATTTTCCTAAGAGAAGAAAAAACGTGTTCGTAAATCATGCAGCTACTTTGACATCGGCGCACTACAATAGTCTATTTGTGGAGCGGACATAAAAAAGGGCTATTGTGGAGGACTGATGGAAAAACCAGATTATGGGAATGTTTTTCGGTGCTGCTTTCTTGAATAACTAAACGAGAGTAAAATAGAGTGGAATCACAAAGCTAACCATTTATTTGTAACTTACTGTAGTTTCCACTGCAGAGTATGATGTGAGATTCAACCACAATGGTGCTGAGATATTCGCAGAACTTGCCCCCCCCCCGGGCTAGCTCGAACCAGGATTCCTCTCTACGGGGCACGCGCACTGCACACTACTCCTGCATTTCTGTCACCTAGTTTTCTACCTTAATTACTTATGGCAGCGTTAAATAGAAAACAAACTGGAAGAAACGCAATAGCAATGCTAACTGTTTATTTGCTGCCTACTGTTGTTTTCACGGTGGAGATTTGCGAATGTGATTTCGTCTACAGCCTCAGCTTAACTGAGTCCAATGCCGATGTGAGCTTTCCAGATTAATCCCGCTAACGGGTGATTGCTGATGGCAGCGCTAGGTTGAAAAGCAGCTGAGAGAAACGCAGAGCAAGGGCCTCTGTGGTGCAGTGTGTAATGCGCGAGCCCCGAAAAACGAAATTGTTCGATCCGGGCCGGAGTCCAAGTTTTGGAATATCTCAACATCATTGGGGTCAAAATAGAGTGAAGCCATTCGTGTCTTTTGTGTTTGTTGGTTCCACACCAACTTTCTCATTGTCACCTCCTGTCCCATAAGTCGCGCATTCACTAAATTAGACCACAATGCATAGTATGAATAACGTTGATTAATATCTTTTATAAAATAATTCGTTCATTTAATGTTCAGTGTTGGAGGAATGATTCTTGAAAGTTCTCCTAAGCAAGTATGACTAATGTGAATAAACGTGTCAGGACAGCAACGAGCCTTCTGAGGAAATCTTTTCGAAATTCTTTGAAGATTTCATAGTTGTTTTCATAAGCGATTGTTCTGATGTTTTTTTATTATGAGTTGGTTAAAGTGAAATAAAAATTACAAATATACTACTTTGCAACGCATTGGAAACAGTATCTATGAAGCTTTCGCAAAAGCTCAGCTCTTTTCATTGTAGAATATCAGATGCCGATGCGTGACTTATGAGACATTTTTCGCTGAAACCATCCAATGTCCAATTTCCTCTATCTGCAGGGTTTCGTACTATTCCGATGTTTTGGTGGAAGTAGCAGCGGGTGTATTCTACAGTATCGACGTCAACAATGGCGATCAGGATGGTGTACTATCAGTCCAGGTGTGATTCAACTATGGCCACTTGACAAGCAGATTAACTCCGATAATCGTGTTACCATACCGCTTGATGGTGATACGCGCATACAAGTAAGTGAATACTAAATTTAACGTATTATTTACTGCCTATTCTTTTTAACGGCAGGGTATACATTGTGAAATATAACTTCAATGATGCTGAGATATTTGCAAAACTCCGGACCGCAGGTGTATGCGGTGGGGAACGAACATGCGCTGTTGTCCTTACTGGGGATCAGCGCACTTCACCACCACACCATCCGGGTCCTTCGGTCTGCCTATCTCAGCATCATTGAAGTTAGTGAATACATTTTAAATGACTAAGTATCGTGGTTTTGCTGGACTCTCAACTTTTATTGGTTTATCTTTTTTTGTTAAACTAATGGTAAGTGTAAAAGATTAAGGTTTCGCGGCGATCAATCTCTTAAGAATACGGCATGTTTTGTACTCCTTTAAGCATCGGAGAAGATGAACGCATATTTTGCCTTTACAGTGCTGTACAGCTTACCAATCTTTGAAGTCGAGTTAAAAAATTCCTTTTTACTCTCTTAGACAAGTGTGGCACCAATCTGTTAAGCGTGGAGGAATTGAGTTCTTGGTAAGAACTGTATGATCGATCCAGCGACTACGTGCATCATAGTTCACCTCTACCAATTACTGCGCTATAAGTTTGTCAAAGTATTCAGACTAATCCAAAACGTATTTAAAAAGCTTTCTGAAGTAGCTAAATGATGTTTAGACTAACTCTGATTGGATTCGATTTTAGGTAGCAGACCGTTGAGAGTTGAATAAAAGCACCGCGAGTATAGTGCAGTGTAAGCCATACGAAATGACATTGTCGTTGGTTCGACGCCCTCCCCCCCACCCTACTGGAACCGTCCAAGCCAAGAAATGCTTTGTAGTTACGAAACTGCCACTTGAAAATTCACTACACCTCAGAAAAGTGCATTAAAAGTCCTGCTTGTGTAGACAAATGACGACAATGTTAATCGTCGAGGTCGCTTTAGTATTCACCACTTAGTAAAAATTTCTAGAAGCATTAAAGTACTAGTCTGATTTCTTTGTCTCTCTTACTTATTCCCATTCTTATTTCTCTTTCCCTCATAGCTAACCGATCATGTAGAAGTTCAAGGAGGGTTTATATTTCTGTGAAGTGTGGAAATTTCTTTCTTTAGGAAATATTTTTAGCAGTTTTTAGAAAATTAGATTATTTTTATATTTTTTAATTGTGGAGGAACTTGCGATGAGTCCATCACTAACGCTATTGTGGACGGATCAGATAAAGAGAACTGATCTTGCCACTGCTCATAGTGGTGACTAGTTTTTTTATTCCTTCTGTTATTTCTATGAAAAAACGAGTAAGAATTAAGTAAAATGTCACTCACTATCGTCTGAAGCTTTCGCCTAGAAGTCCAAACTCCTTAAATATCAAGATATTTTTTAAAAAATCTACAGCCTACGTCTTGTGCGCTAAGTACTAAACATCTTATCTAAAAGGATAACGTATAAAGCTATAGGCCTTGATCAAATCGCTAAGGGATGCGCCATGCATTCGAGTTCATTAAGCATCATTTTGAGGCGATTGAACGCATATCTGGCCTTTACAATGACTCGCGGTGAGATAGCGGTGTACTGAACCAGTGCTGCTATCCTCTAAGACAAATCTGGTACCCACTTACCAAAACCGGAGGGACGGATGAGTTGGTGGGCCATAGGCGAGGGGATTGATCCCGTATGTATTGCAGGGCGTCTCATCTGACACAATTCTGGATATCAGGTATTTTTAGGATAACATCGTTCAAGGCGATCGATTTGTATGGGAAGTACAGTCTGGCAAGCATGTGATGCAGTTTGCTCATTTCGATGCGCTTATGAGCCGAGCGTATGTCACCGGTTTGTGTTTTGAACGTAATAGATGAAATATAGATTTTTCTACTGCACTTCCTTTCTACATGCTTTTCGATTATAGCAATAGCAAAAAACCTTCGTTGCATATATTGAACATATATATATACATATATATATAGTAGCCTCAGCAAAACTTCTCCAGTTGAATAACAGTGAGTGGGCGTGGCTGATTCAAATGTCGCTTCTAGATTGATTTCCTATTCCTTAAGTGTATTAACTTATTCATTTGGATACTTTCCATGTTAGCTCGTCGTTCAAGCTTTAGCATTTCTTCTGTTCAATCGCTGTTTTGCAACGGTCATTATTGTTTGTGGTCAGGTTCGTAGGTGGGCTCAGCCGTCGCCTGAGAACTTGTCGTCTTCTTTCATCACCGATATGACGAATGTTGTTTAAGCATAGTTTTTCTTGGTGATAGTGGTGATCGAATGGTGACATCTATGTTATGGCGTTTCTGAAAATATCAAAAGTAAACATGAATCTTCACTATTCTTAAGAGTCGCGTCACCTCTTACTGTGATTGAGTCAGTTTAGTTGATCCAGATGACATGAAACATATGGCAGATTCTTCAGTTAATGCAAAAAAGCACTAAAGGAAATGTCGGGAATGGACTGATGCAGATTTATCGGTTTCATGTCCATCGATGGGTAGTGAAGTTATCGCTGAAGAAATCCAAATCCAAAGAATTAATCCGAAAAAAAAGTGAGGACATAAGGGGAATGCTTCCGCTACTTCTCATGCTTTCACTGAACCAGGATCCTTGCGCAAAACCTTCATTCGTTCCAGCAGTTCTAGTTCCAGCCGTCTTCCGATGAAGATGTGCGTAAGCACCCTGCAATAATTTATAGGACTCAAGATCATTTGAGAGATGCGATTTTTTCTCAGACGTCAACAAACTAGTTTATCTGCCAGGATAACTCTACAAATGATCATAGTGCCTTCAAGATTTGTAAAGACCGGCGCGTTGGCTTTATTCATGTCGTTCACTAAGAATGGTCGCTCATAAAGGTCTTCCTCAATGGTGGCGTCTACCAGAATCATTGCTTGATCTATGGATCGTTCAGAGATACGAACTGAGATGGCTGATATAGGCCATAAGAACTTCCAACCATCTCGCACGTAGTTATTCTATTATGATTAACTTCTTGGATTTTACCTCAATATTCTATAATTGTTCATTTGTCGGCCAAGTTACCCTCTATCAATACCTTCCGTTAGTATTCTGCGAAATTATGAACTTAGAATAGTTTTCAAGGAACTGAGTAATGAAGTTCATTTGGTGTCTTCTTTGGCAGCTGAAGTTAAGAAGAAATCGTTGGTTCATTCCGTAGATGTTTCTCCTAAAATCACGACGTAGGTAAGATACTAGCTCACTTCTAAACTATCTAGAAGTGTTGATCTTGGCTTCTTCAAGGCTCCAATTGGATTTCTCTATAGCAGAAAAACAACAGAAAAGTGGAACTCCTGATACAGTAATCCTCTTTAGCGGGTTAAAATTCTAAACGCGGAGCCGACGTAAAGATATTTGGACCGAAAACACTCTCAGTATAGGCTGCTTCATGTAACACTCAAGTTGCTTACTTCAGTAATTGTGTCCCTTTCTAAGTGTTTCTTGTTGGATAAGCTCAGGTAAAAATGTTAAACGAACTGTTATGATCTGGCTATCTATTCGTGTTTCAATATTAGAGCCAGTTAATCCGAAAATTTCAGATATCCGACTGGCAATCGAGCGACCAACACGTTCAGCGCTTCAGGACTTAGATCATAAACGATCACTTCGACACGGTGGTACCAAATTTCTTTTTATCATTCGATATCATATCTTCGATGATCCGACGTCGAGCAGCAATATGAACGAGTCAGTTTTGCTTTGCAGGTCGTCGTTATGATCGAGAGGCAAGCGAGCGACAACAGTTAGAGACGGAGAAAAGACGATTGGAATTCCAACTGGAGCAAGAGCGATTGGCGTTGAAAGACGAGGAAATTGTACGTGGATTGGCAACCAGGTCGTGTTACAGTCCGGCTTTTTCTCTGTAGAAGGTTTCGTTGTTTGTTTTCCAATTTTTCTTTCTTCTTATGAGAGGAATCCTTAGATATACTGACACATAGGGGCGTGTGTGGCACAGTGGTTAGAGGTGCTACTGCGGCACACACGTGCAATCGGTTCCCGCGTCCACGGCCCACTAAGTCTTCCATCCCTCAGGGGTCGGCAGCTACCAGACTTGTCTGGGAGGATAGCAGCATTGGCTCGATACATTGGTAGGCCATCGCGACTCATTGTAAAGGCCAGGTATGCATTCAGCCACCTCCAAACGGTAGGCTTAACGAAGTCGAATGCATGGCGCATCCTCAGGGATTGATGAACGCCGAGAGCTTAATCCTTTATCTTTTTATTGATATATAATGGCCCAAATATGCCTAAATGTGAGATCTTTAATCAAACTGATGAGTACTAAAGAGTTTAGAATTTCTCATACAAACCTTGCTTTACATGGATGTTATGGAAACGAAAAATGTGGCTATTTTTTTTAGAATGTTGGAAGAAGAAAAGCAAAAAAATGAGCGAATGGAACGAGTGCTGCTTGAACTACAAAGCAAACTCGGCCAGCGGCTGGATACGGTGCTTGAGGCCGGAACATTAGAAGCGATACAAGACGATGAACGACCAGACGATGAACAATCAAGCGAAGGGCATTCAGTGGAGATCGAAATCAGCGAGAATGGTTGTGGCGACGTAGAGTTGCCGAATGGTATTAATGGTGTTGATGTTGACGACGAAGTGTGGAGAAAGGACGATTACCTAATTGTTTCCACTCAGTCCATATGAAGTGAAGTCAGTCGTTCATGGATTTGGGCTATTCAACGTCATATTTTTTCTGAATTGATCTGGGTTATTTATTCCAAAAAATCCACGGAGTTATTTCTGAACTATCAAAGGACATAATATTTTGAAAACACTTTTGATTGAGCTCTAAAATTTTTAACGATTCAAGTAATCAACGACTTTATTTAATTATAAGTGTTGGTAAGAAGACAGGAGGAAAAGAATTTCTTATATGTAGACCTCTGACGGAAAACTCGTCCATTATCTCGAATAGGGGCGGTGTTTACCACAACAAGTAAATCGATACTCTCAATGCGAAGTTGTAAAACGGATTAGAAAGCCATGACCTTTCCATGTCATGACGATATCATGATATCAATTTGTAGGGTATCACGTACTCTGGTGTTTGTTCCCAGTATCTTTCGTATCCCAACTGACGACAAATCACGAGAACCAGCGTAATTTGCTGTGGGTTTCACTGTAGATTCCACCCTGTGTACGTGATAACTCGTCCTCCATAGATGGATATCGAAAAGATCCTATTAGTTTTCAGTTAGCAGTATTATTCTTTCAGATTCGTCTAATCATACATTTAGCAGTCATTTAAACCTTCGTCAAAAAAAAATTCACGTAAAATTATCATTTTCTCGTGAATGTTTTATTTGTGACAGCTTCAGAATCATAGAATAAAGTATTAACATCTATTGATACCCTTGTTGAGACTTCACTTCCGTTTCTAGCATTTATTAACACATATGCGACCGAGCCTAATGTTCTATGGCGGAACTACACTTAACTTTTTGCTACGCTCAGTGTGTATATTGTAGTCGTAGAACATAGTCCATTCTGGCCACCCATCGGTTCAATTGTACTAATGCATATGGTCATTTGAGCGTTAAGATAAGTAAGGGCATGACACAGTTTCATCCTGTTTCATTAAATCAGCAAGTTTTTTAGCTTTACAATCTTTAGATAGTTAGCAAAGAAGTTTTCAGGTCGTTACAAAGGAAAGTTAATTCTAGAAAAAAGGGCCTCTGTGGGTAGGAGCCCTGTTTATTGTATTGCTACCAGGTAATCGTACTGTCAACATGGTTGCTGTCATAAACATCGATTACAGGTAATCTGGCACCATTATGGAAAGCGTCAACCTTTCTCAGCTTACATGAACCTGACCGAGAAGCTATCCTCTGCTGCATATGGCAGTTTGACATCCAAGGATACCTATTCAGTTCTGAAAAAAGAGTAAGGTGGAATATTACTTAGACACATAATTAACCCCTCTCCTCGTATTGTGCTGCCTCTAGCACTTCCTGCGTTGGATTCATCATCCCGAAACCGCCAAATTTAAACAAAACGGATTCGTAGTTGTACGAAAAGTCTGAGGTATAGGCTATAAATTTGAAGAATACATCGATTTCTATGTAGAATTAGCCGTTCAACAACTTTTAAACCAATAACTAGGACACATTGGTGCTCAAAATTTCGAAGAAAGGCTTTATTCATTATAAAAACCTGGAAACTAATGTTTCGAGTAATAATTGTGGTGTCCCGATCAGCAAATGTGCAGTCCAATCGGTTTGTAGGTCGACTCTAAATGTTGACACTCAAAATATGGAGGATTGTCGAGCCTCTTCTAATCCACTGGCAAAAATGGATATCAACAGCGTCCAGTGGATCGATACTTATTAATTAGCAATGCACTACCAACAATCCGTGTCCAAAATTTTCTTCGCTGTAACCCAAAAGCAATCTGAAGCAGTTAACAATCCACTTTGTATTCTATGACAGCTTTAATATCTATGAAAACAGCAAAGTTTCAGACCTTAAGCCTTGTTTTTAATTCACTACAAAAAGAAGAAAAGGCTGAAGAAAAATGATCTTGGAGTGGTTCCCAACTTTACCTTTGATACTGGCCAAAAAGGAATGGTAGGTGAGCTTTCCAGTGACCGCGCCGGGTTTTGCGGGATTCTTCCGGGTTGTGATTACATTAAAACCATCTGGCCCGACTGCTTCCACTTCAACGATATGCCAGTCAAGCATTCTAAATTAAACTTTCAGCAGATAATTTATTAGGTTTTTCTTTTAGAGCCATAAGCTTTCACAGACAATAAAATTGAACAAAAAGATACTTTAGGTGTCATATCGCACACATTGTTATCATAACGAGCAAAAAACCCTCTTACTTTAATCTAGTGAAAAAGATTTGCATAGAAAGCAGTGCTACAATGAAAGAAATTAGAAAACACACTTATGGTTAAAATTTTCGAGATCTTTTATCAAAATATGGAGTAGTAAGGGAATTTACGTTCATAGCTAACCGCTTACTCCCAACGGTTCACCGCCTCATCGTGGCTAGGTGCTCCTGGGTGCCGGACTGCGATGTACAGCGAGGTGATTCGTTCCCCTGGCAGGATCACCCAAGCTGACAAAGAGTTTGGCGTTTCCATCAGAAAGCCTAGCTAAGAGTAAACGAATACCAGGATACACCACCGTCCTGGTATCAAAGCCGCCTGGTGGCAAATATCTCCCTTATCCACAAAGCCTGCGACTGCTTGTGGTGGTGAAGATCTGGAGCAAACTTTGGCCAGGCTGACCTCGGGATTCCAGAAAACCACAATGGCTTAACCAGGAAATCTCCGAAAAATGGTTATTATGTTGGGACCCGCACAATCAGTACGGACGGGCTGTTCAACTATCAAGTAAGTAAATAAGCCCTCTTACTATGGTGAAGCTTGTCTTTAGACGTAGAACTAGAACCACAGTAAGAGTTCATTTAACGGGCTGGTTACCCATGTTTACAAGGTAGACTTCTACGTCACCTGTCAGCTGTCACCTGTCATCCCGTTGATGGTCGAGTGAATTTAGTGGGCGCCAATAAAGCTTCCATTTCTCCCTGCTGCGTAAAAGAGTAACTCCATGGATTTTACTCACTCTAGAGACACGTTCATGACCATATCGTTCTTCGCTTTCATAAAGAGTTCTGAATATTGAGTCGTGACCTTCTTGCTGTATGGCCGACATCCCAAAAAATACAGTCGCTAACGACATGTTTTTATCGGTGGTCGTTCACACGCATTGCGTGTCTGGTCTACGTTGTCCTCGAGTGCCTGGTGTATAGAACGGCGTTTTGGACGTTGACGTTGCGATGCGAGCTTCCAATCCCTATCTCACTTGCTTAAAGCGGGATGCTCCTAACATTGCCCTCTCGATTAAGCGTTCTATAAAGTTAAGTGATGTTTCATTCTGTTCATGTGGCGACCGACTTTCTGACGTATAAGCTAAAGGAAGGAAAACAGTGAAGAAAAAGTGGGCACGGAAATAAGTGTTCTTTGTTCTCTTCACCATACCCACGATGCTCTTGGAAGCTTCCCAACTCTGTCGCTTATTTCTACTCACCTCTGGAGCTAGGTCGTTCATCATTTTGACTAGATAAACGTACATGGAGCATTCGAGGATATTCGCTCCGTTGAGCTTGAATGGAGCATGCGTGATCAATCCGTTCTTTATTAACATAGTTTATGTGAGATTTCATCGAAGACCAATCGTTCCACAAGCGTTGTGAAAGTGGGGTAGCATCCGTTCTGTCTGGACAATGCCTGGTGTTATTAGAACGATGTCATTAGTAAAGCGAGGATGATGCCGACCAACTGCCGACCGTCGAATTTCACTTCAATATTGCCCCATTCTAATATTCGTATGACGTTCCGGTGGATACCACTAAATAATTTTGGCAAGATAATTATAGGCTTCTTGAACTATTCTCATTACGTAGATGTCAATGTCTTTGTATAACGGTGATATTTTCGTTGTGAAAATTTTATTTGACACACGCGAAATGTTTTACGTGTTGAGGAGGGACGCCTTGTCTCTCCAAGGCTTCCGTGACTTCTACCCACGAAACTCAGTTAAAGTTTTCTTTAAAACGATAAAAATGAGACAAAACGGCCTTGCGTACTCTCGCAATACTTCAGTGAGGCTTGTTATCGTGTGGACATGGTCCATCGTAGCGAATCCTCTTCCAAATTTTGCTGGCTCACAAGGCCGCCTTTCTTTCGGTGTTCTTTCAGTCTTGTTTTTGATTACTCGAATGAAGAGTTTATGGACGACAGAAAGAAAGCACATGAGACGATAATTGTCGATATCGTGAAAGTCACAATACTTGAGTAACAACACGATCTTGTTGGTCCTCCATTAAATAGGAACCCCGTTTTCTGACTGGTAACGAGCAGAGCAAGGTTCTTCAGGTGTTCAGACTTTATCCTGTAAGGACCGGGTGTTTTAGGATTCTTCACCGATGAAATGGCATGTCGGATTTTGGAAAGGAGAACCGGTGGTACAACATATCCATCCTCCTTTATTTCATATGGGTAGACGTGGCCTATCGAAGAGATCTGAGTAGTATTCGTGAATGATTTTCTCCATTGCCTTTCTGGACACTGTAGCTGTTCCGTATAAGCGCCGGAGTGCAATAATCTTGGTCTTGTAATTGGCAAAGCTTCGGCGGGCTTTGCGAATGCTTTTCCCAGCCTCTGCAGCTTTGGCCATTGCTGCTGCTCTTCTCTCTCTCTATGACCTTCTTTTATCGCTTCTCTTCATAGTTTTGCAAGCTCGGACGTTAGCTCACGGTTGCCTGTTGCTCGTGCGATTCCATACTATCAGCTCGAGTGTTTCTCGAGATAAACGTCTCTTGGTGACTTTCGAACTCGCAGTTTTCATAGCTCTAAAGTGAAGACGTTGCATGAGCCAATCGTATTCTTCGTCGATGCTGTCGACAACGGCATCTTCCTAGTAGCCGACTAATGAATTGAATAAATCCCAGTTTACGGTAGTTCTGGGACTTCGGTTTTGAATTTCTCTACGTATTTTCCTTTTGGTAAGAAATGAAATCCGGCAAAGGCGATTGTGTGATCTCGAATAGAATTTTGAGATCACAGCGGCATCGGTTAGGCAAAGCCTTAGATTTATTGTAATGTGGTCTTTTTCCTTATATCACTCTCATTGAGGGATTTCCACGTCGAGCGTTCAGAGCGGAGCGGGTCTTCTGGAAATGCGAGTTATCATGAGTAATCCTAGTCGTCGTGACATGCTCTTGAGCCGTTCAACCTTCTCGTTCTATTCTAATCCGTGGGTCCCAATGTAACCGTTTGGCGTTACCATCTCAGCGTTAGAAACTTTCTCTGTAGAAAGTCTATCTTTAAAGTCCATATAGTTCGCAGAAAATGGAGGCTGTCAAGATCGATATTGATCTAAATATCTTTAACCGTAAATATCCGATTCAGACTGTTAGTTGTTCGAATGAACCGATTTTTATCGCCGAACTCGTGTTGACGACAAAACGGACACCGCCAAATCCTCTATTGTCGCATATTCCGAGGACCAATCCTTCTCTGGCGGTACAAACAGCGTTGACAATGAATGGCATTGTCTCGTCTCGGCCAGTATCGCTCATCGTTATCCTTCTTGCTTGAATGAGCAAGTCCTCTGAAAGGACTCAGATGCAAGCGTGCGTTTGTTGTACGAACAATTTGTCACCTTAGCCCTTTGAGATTAAGGCCCCTGTGATGACTCTTAGAATTCAACAGCCTCTTTGTATTGGTCCTACTATAAACTGTCGTATCGGAGCTGTTTATGGTTAGAAGAATGAGGCATGTTTCACTGTGTGCTTGGCGTTGGTCTACCCACATCCGGAAAACATTAAGTGTAAGCCAATGCGAGAAAATGCAAATTTTAAGAAACGAACCAAGTGGCAAAGCAGTAAGCTTCTCTCACAGTGCTTGCTGAATACCTGTGATGGCGACGTAGGGACACTCTGACACGCCTATCACACATACTCCACGACGAAAGAAAACTTTCCTAACTACCAGTATAAGAGCGAAATCGAAGTCGCGTTAGGGTGCGCTTTGTTCAAAAAGAAGAATCACTCAAAAATGTATGTGAGCAAGAAGAGTTTCAACCGTTGGCCACAAGCTTTCTTTGAATGAAGGATTCCTCTTGTGTCGAAGCACCTACTGAACCATTGAAATTGAAGGGGTAGAAAGGATTAACAAAGGCATAATTAATGAGTAGTGAAAACATTGAACGAAGTTTCAAGACTAAAACAACAAACTTCGGATCGCTAACCAGCCTGGCGATCACTCCATCGAAACCCAAGTTATGTGCCGCAATTGCTCCACCGGCCATAGTATTCACATTATTTGGCGCTAGTGGACAAAGATTTCGTACTGGTCCTGAAAAAAAGGCAACATTGGTATACTATATGCAGAGTGTTAAGATAGCGTTCATACCCTCGTACAGCACAGTGGGTTCCTCGCTCTTTTGTTTTGCTGTTTCATTGAGCTCTTTGAGAGGCGATTCGAGTTTGAATGACGATGGATGTTTTGTTATCGTTATGGTAAGTGCCTAAAACTTTTCTCAACATAAAACAATCCAGCATAAAAAACCAATTCCAGGCTTTAAGTTAAAGTTTTTCATCATAATACTTTGTCCTATAAAATCCTGGCGATAAAAGATGAATAAAAATAGAAAGGATAAAGCTCTTGGCGTTGATCAATCTGTGAGGGATGCGCCATGCATTCTACTTCATTAAGCATCGTTGGAGGTGACTGAATGCAAACCTTCCCTTTACAATGACTTGCGGTTGCTCACTGATTATCGAGCCAGTGCTGCTATCCTCCCAGACAAGTCTGGTACCAATTCGTCGGCCTCGGAAGGATGGACGGCTTGGTGAGCCATGGACGCGAAAACCGATCATCCCATGTGTATTGCAGAGTGCCTACGGTCACTGCGCCTCACGTGCCCTGATAAAAAGTGGAAAGTAAAATAATCTCACAGTCAGCAAATTAAAGCTCTTAAAAACTTATAGCCTTTTTTCTGAAAAAACGAATTTTTACGAAATAGTTATTCATTTGCATTTATTTATTCAATTGATCAAAGATCCCATGTTGTACAGAGCCCAGAAGTTCTTTCATTCGATTTGCATCCTATCCAACCTATCCGCTGTTCACGAAGGTTATTAGAATTTCGCATAATTTCGACTGTAGTTTGAGGAGTTATCCTTTTTCAGGAATATCGTTGAACGCGCGGCGAGTAGATTCTTCTTTAAATCCTGGGATAGCTGTGCCAGTGGGTTCGTAGGTCTTCGCCGCAAGAAGTTACCGGAACTTGTTGATTGGGTAAAACTTCCCAGACACGTTTACCACTAATTTTTTTATCCCAAAAAAACGAGAAGCTTGGTTGGCCTGGTATAGGGTCGATTCACACAATGACCGTTCACGTATTATTGGCTGTCTCCTCTAACCACTGAACTTTCCGTATCATGAAAGAGCTATCACAAATACTACTTTGCCTTGATATAAAATAAGAAATGCATGCCAAAGATCGAAGACAACAAAATAGATAGTCTTCAGCTGTTGACTGTGTACCAATTGACAACGAAAAAAAGTTTAAAAAAAAAAACAAATGCACCATTAGCGTTCCTTGGTCAGCCATCTTCTGGATGTCGTTGCCGCCCCAGATTGCGCCCGCCGGGACCAGAACTCGGCGTTTCTTGGTGAATGCCGTGGATCGAATGCTTTCCAGAAGATCAGCATCAGATAAGCACGTAGGTGAACCGATCTATACCATAACAATTCCTGAGAAACCTAACAAAAAACATGTGTGTGGTTTTACCTATTGCATAACTAACACCTAGTATTAATACGTTTTCCTCCTCCTTCGATTCTTTAGAAAATGCTATTTTTAGATATTTTCTTTGTTTTTAAGTCTATTTCGGAGTGTTTGAGGTGTTTGAAGCCTTATTTCCTGCCATTTTTTATGGTGGGGCACTACGTGAAATACAACCATAAGGATGCTAAGATACGAGCAAAACTCGAGACGTCAAGAGGTTTCCAACATGCTATTAGCCTTGCCAGGATTTCGACTGCAGCTGCAGCATAACGGGGTTCAATGCTGATTTATACTGCCCGAATCATTCCTGTTGATGGGTGATTGCCCGCATTACCAACAGAGTAGAAAACTGACGGAGAGAATGGCAAATCAAGAGCCTCCTTTGGCGTCGTGGTAAACATGTGAGCTTTCGGTAAGGATAGTCGTGGTTCAGAAACCCAACTGAGGTTCCGAGTTTTGCTCATATCTCAGCATCTTCATAGTTATTTGAAATGTTTCTAAATAGTTGCGTTATTTATGACTATAGTGAACGAACGCGACAACTGATACTCACAAATAAATCACAGTTGTCCAGAATGATATTGACGAATCGGCGAATAACAGCTGGATGCGCGACTTCGATAACCAAATCGATATCCATGAAAAGTGATGAAATCGATAAAAGAGTGTTATCTTTGATTTCTATATCAAAAATATTTCGAAAATTGAAAAACTAGAGAAAGGACCACATGATTGCTGCCTCTTAGATGAGCTTCTCACTAAGAATTCGATTCTATGTAAATTCTACTTTTGGGCTTATTGATGTTTTCTCAGCTTTCATCAGTAATTCACTCTTAGAAACGGTTTTTCTTAAAAAAAAAAAAGCCTTTTTATTCATGTTCTTCAATTTTTGACAAAAACCAATGAAATTGGTGCAGGAGATATTTACTTACTGTAGGTGATCAAAAGTAATCGCATCCAAGGGTAGAATTCGTTTCTCATAGTCTGGTGTTCGATTCCACACTCTTACCACTTGAAAATTTTCCAGACGATTCAGTTCGTCCACCAAAAATTCACCTAAAGATGTCCTTCTCAAGAAAATCTAACCACATCCATCAAAGGCGACAAATCCACTAGGAAGAAAAACTCCGAAAGTAAAAAGAAAAAGAACAGATGAAAGTTCAGGAGGAACTTGTTTCCGACCCAAATGACCGTATCCGATTATGCCTAGCCGCCGCTTTGTTGACATTCCTGTATTTTCCGCTAAATATGAATAAAATATTAGAAAATATAGAATATTTAAATATATCTCTCAAAAAACATTTTATGAACAAACACGAATAGAAGCGACATTAAATACGAGAAAAAAAACTATGAACGATGGGAAACAAGTCCAGAGTTTTTAATGCGGGATGGAAGCGATTCAGTCACAGACCGTTTAACAGTAAAGGAAAAAAAAGCTGCTTTCAATTTTCTTAACCCTATTCTTTAATTTGTAACCCTTCTTTAAAAGTAGAATATATAACCCTAGTGACAAGCATTGAATTAGAGCGATCAAACACTATCGATTAAGCGCCTTCGTTATTAAACACCTGCAGTAATCCTGAACCGTCAAAAAACAAGAGAACGTTTCAACGCCTTTAAATGTTCAGAAAATCGGAAATCTTAAAACATACAGTGGTGAATATTTCCCGAATAACGGAGGAGAAGCTCTCAGAATAATCGGAAAAAAACTGGCATAAACGGAATAAATATTTGAAAGTTATGGGTTATTCATGACCTTGGCTGACCACCTGACGAATCTGCAAAACCGGTTAGGGCGAACAACTGGCAATCATCGATTAGGGACTGTTTCATAGTTCGCAACTTTTCATGGAATTCCTCGACATTGTGTGTGCTTTTGATCACAGCAAAATTTGAAGTTTAACATAATGTTGGACATAGTAGGTTATTTATTGGGTTTGTTTTCCGTTTATTCTGTGAAAGAAAGATAGTTTACGAGATGAGTCAAGTATAGGCAACTGAAGATCATCACGAGCACCCAGCACGATGCTAGTTTGATGAATCGCTGGGCTTACCAATCATCTTGTCTTTCCGGGGTCAGAAAATTGGCGCCGGACGTATCTGGGAAAGGATCGCTCACCGCAATCCAAGTGGGAACCCTCGAGCCCGGCTATCCCAGGACTCCAGGGAGAACCAACTCAACCTGCATTCATGGTCATTCATGGTGGGAGCAAAACCCTCGAAGCCGAAGCACACGTAAAAAGTTGGAAGACCTGAGTGGATGAACGAATCGAATGCGAGGAGGGCTGGGATCCGCACAGTACATATGAGAGACGGGTCGTGTAAAAAAGAGTGAATTTGGTTAAGTTAGAATAGTCGAAAGTTCTGAAGTGGTTAATTGTTATTTTGGAGGCCATGTTAGACCTATCAATACCGATTGGATGCTGGAACCTGCACAGTGCGTGAAGTCCGCTAATACGAATGATAACAAAGATTAATATACTTTTTTGATAAATAAAAAGATAAAGCTCTCCGCGTGTATCATTCGCTGAGGAATGCGCCACCCATTTGACTTGATTAAGCATCGTTTGGAGGTTACTGAATGAATATCTGGCCTTTACAATGACTCGCGGTGGTCCACTGATGTATCGCGCCAGTGCTGCTATCCTCCTAAACAAGTCTGGTACCAATTTCCCGACCCTGGAGGGATGGAAGGCTTGGTCGGCCACAGAAGTAGAGATCGATTCCACGTGTGTGTTGCAGGGCGCCTCGGACCACTGCACCACACATGCCCTGTTTTTTTGAAAGAATAGAATATTGAGGTCGGTCGGCTAGGATAGCCCTCGTTCTTAAGGTCGCTTACTCACAGAAGTCCCTGCCATACTGCTAGTTCTTTTTATGACAAAAAGCAAGGATAGCTTTATTGTTGTTCAAATCATCCGATGATCAACAGGAGGTAGGTGATACAGATGAAAAGATGACATTGAGGATAGAACAATTCTCAATCCGACGCCTGCTGCTTCCTCTACTCTATCCTATTCAGGAAATAAAATTAATCACAATAAACTGGAATTACGATTTCTAATAATAATAATACATTTGTTAGGTGAATACATAAAAGAATTGTGGGCTCCAAAGAGGAGATGGAGCTATGATTCGACAGTTTCCATGTTCTCCAAGCCAGTCTCCATGCGTCTGTTGCGCGTCCCTGGATCCTGTATAGAAATGTATCTATGCCTTTGTGTATATATGTATTTATATATATATGCATATAGATAGAGAGAAAAATGTAAAGTGATTATATAAGTTCCTGTGAGATTTTATCCATAATTCGCTTTCCTACGAGATTATGCCTTGGTGGAGAATGTTCCGGAATATTCTTCAGAAAGGAGATAAGTACCAGAAACAACTAAATAGGGACTAAGGCGACGACCGAAAAGTTTGCGTTATCATGATTTAGATGTACTTGATAAAGCACAACGCACCAATAACCGTGAAAAACGTGTATGCCACGTCTGAAGGAAGCACGAGACAGGGTTGGCATAGTTCCACATCAGGAGCTTCGAGGCAAATGAAACGTGCTGAAGATGTGTGCTGATTATGATGACTTGATGTGTTGACGAAGATTTTCTACGCTACCGTCTGCATCAAAGCCAGCACTTCTGACCAACTACGATGCAACGAATATATCTTTATTTATTCTTACGAACTGCTCTTGTTGAGGTGATACGAGGTTGGTACTAGCAGTGTTGCTGGTCGTTCGATAGCTGACGTCTATGCGACTTCACCCTTCCCAGAATCCGGGAGCATTATATGTAACAATAACCCCACAATTCGGTAAGACATCCACACCACTAATAAGGATCCAACATACAAATGGACGCCACTTTGTTAAAACACTACTCACCGCTTCGTTAGGTGTGGGACCGATCACTCGTGTGTTGTTCACGTAGAATGACGAGTGAGACCCACTCAGGTCAAAGAATCAGTTTGAAATAAGGCGCCTGGTAATGTGCGATAGTGAGCCATTCGTCTTTCTGGTTCATCTCTGGGTTTTTGAAATTTATCCAAAACGCCTTTTGAGTCCTGCGCTTTGATGTCTTTGATTCCCGCGCTAGAATCCTGACAGTCATTTCAAACTCATCACCGTAGTACTCTTGTATCGTATGTGTACCAAGAGAAGTACATTATCGAATTTTAGCTTTTCTATCTGGATATTCTTTTATGCGGACACAAAGTGGTCTACCCGCTTCCCCAATTCACCGCATGCCGTAGATGAGACCAAGTATATTGTGCTTGAACTCATGCAATCCTCGTCTCTGGTGTTAGGACAGATTACATAATTTTATGAGCTGCATAAACTGTCAGAAAGGCGTTTAAGGGCTAAGAGACGGGATAGAGTATTGGGTGGAAGGTCAATAACTGCCACAGAATTTTCAAGATCACTTTTGCTTAGACACCTCTCAACGACGTAACTTATTTCTTTTAATATGAAGAGCAGCTTGAAACGCATCTTGCTCAGGTTTTCTTAATTATAATGTAATGTCTGTCTATGTCATTATTCGTGAGTTTTTATTTCTCCTTACATACTTAATACTTGAACGGCCTGTCCTCACTGGTTGTGCGGGCCCCACCATTATCTCCATTTTTCGAAGATTTGCTAGTTAAGCCATTCTGACTCCCTGGAGTTCCGAGGTCAGCCTGGCCAAAGGCTGCCCCAGGTCTTCACCACCAGGGGTAGTCACAGCCCTTGTGGATCAGAGAGAGATTTGCCACCACGCGACTTTGATACCAAGGCGGTGGTGCATAGTAGTGGTTACTTCTATTTCTCCATTCACGAAGAATTATAAAGGTTGATTGTTACCGAAAGAAAATGATGCATGCTCCAAGAGAACAATACGTTGGAAGCTTTAGAACCGTCGAAGGGAAACGTCCGACAGCTCAACCTGGATCTACCCATGTAATGCCAAGCTTTTTCTGATCGTCTTTTGTGACAGGAGCACCTTCAGCAGGCATGTAGAATCAAACAAAATGATTGACCTTAGTCACAATGGTACCACAAACTCGTCGCTGCAATAAAGGACCAGAGATAGAAATTACACAGCGTACGTTTTATGCATGTCAGTTATCGGCTTCCTATCGAAAAGTACTCTCAGAGAAAGGTAGGAGACTGGTTAACCACACTTGTCCCAGACAGCCATTTTTCAAGCTATAATGCATGATTTACACGGCGACAAGCTGGTCGTTTTGGACAACCCCAGGAAGAGAATCTGTTAGGGTAGCAATGCCTCCCTTTTTAGTGAAAAGAATGAAGGACGTCGAATATTACAATTAATAAAAGAAGTAAGTAAATCTTTGACAACAACTGAATGAAATCAAAGAGGAAAACGTGGTTATTCATTACCAAGCTAGAATTTATGTTGATTGAAACGAAGTCGAAATTATAATTGATTATAACTTGTAGGTATTTGTATGCATGTTTACCTTTTCATTTACTGCTTTCTACAATTTTTCCGGCAGGGTATTATGTGTGATACAACCACAACGATGCTGAGATATTCGCAAAGCTTGGACCCCGGCCCAGATCAAACTAAGATCTTTCTTTCCGGAAGCTCGCGTATTACATACTGCACCATGGAGGCATATGGAAACGCGGAGCAAGGCCCCCGTGGAGTAGTGTGTAATGCGTGGTCCACCAGCAAAGGACATCGTGGTCCGACCTTGCCCTGGTTCCAAGTTTTGCGAATATCCAAACATCGTTGTATTTGTATGTATATTTGCTCACATATCCGTTAAAAAAATGAGCAACCTTTGTAGAAGCATTGGGATCCGGAATAGTGTTGCTAATGAGACCGTGTGACTCCATCACGCGAAAATCTAAATGACTTCTGTTCAGAAGTTTAATAATGAAACAACTAGAAAACCGGAACTTACATTTTGTAAACGCTCTCATGTATTCTGGAAACTGCTCCTCGAAACTCTGCCAGGTCTCAGGCGTAAAATTCTATAAAGGAAAGTATTTGCGTGCACTACTAAGCATTTTTTAAAACACCTGGGAAGGTTAATCACTCATCACTTTACCTGGATTTCGGC